CTTTTACATCCGGTATTGAACTGTGCGTCGTCGATAAAATAGCAATATAGGTCCTGAACACTTGGTAAAATGTAGGAAATGGGAAGTCATAGAAGGAAAACAACATGAACGATCAAGTAAACGCTAACCACATATTTATAAATTATTCATCTAACAGGCCAATTAATATTTAGGCCTTTGAATCTAAAGATTAAGGTCATGTTCATGTTCGTTTGCATGCCTGTCTACAAATGCAAATTTGCGATTAAATGTTGTAATTGTTGTTCGTTTGGCAACCACATCGTATGGCAGTAGCAATTTCAGTTGTATCGCTGAATTTTCATCGACTAAAAATTTAAAATGCTAGCCGAAGTGGCTGACCGCATGTCGCAGCCGCAACCTCTTGAATTAGGCAAACGAACAGACCTTAACAAAACCAACGACGAATGCCTCATTTGAATTTGACTAACTAGAACACCGACATCCCTTATTTGAAAATTTTCACTATCTGGAAGTTGTCTCTTCTTGGAATTTTTTCGGGTTAAAATTATTGGCGGTTTCTTTTGTTTCATTGTATCTATTTTTATAATATAGCCTTGAATGGAACTATAGTGCGGGATGGTTTTTAAAGCTTTATTGTGAATTTTTTTTTTAAGTCACCATTCAACCTTTATATAGTGAAGTGTGGTATGTTTTTACTTTAGAACAAAATAAATAATAATATAAAAAGAAATAGACAACGTAGGGTTCATTTTTATGAAGAAAAATTGGTACTGTTCCGCGATCGTATTAAGCTGGTATTATGGTGTGTTTTGAAATTTTGAAATGCGTTTTTGTTAATTTTAATATTATTCTTAATAAAAAAAATTGTACAAACAAATTTATGATAAGCACATTTTTATTTTTAAATAATATCTTTAGCTACGCAAAATGTTAGAAACAAATAATCAAACAATTATTTTGTACCATATGCTATTTTTTCACCAATTAAACATTGTTTTGTTCCATTTTTCCATACAAACCGCATTTGTTCCGCTAATATATATTTTCCGCATGATCTACAGTTGTACCGTACTATCCTACACAATTTTTTTATCCGTCCCGCTTATTGATAAAAAAACTTTTTGTCCGGTTTATGAGTCAAACCTAGAATCACTAATCCGATGTAGAATAGTTAGGTTCGTTCAAGGGACCGGCAATACACTATAATCTTTTGAGATACCAATTCAGCTAAGCAAACAAAGTTGGTTTTAAGATGTCACAAATAAATCGAGCAATAAAAGTAAATTCGGTGTAAGCAATGATAATTAAAACGTTAGATCAAGGGAAAGTATCTCAGGGATTAGATCATCAAGAACCAAGCAATTATTCAGGTTATTACTAAAGAACCAATCTAGAACTCAACCATAAAANNAAGAGGACNCACTGTCGTGGCATCAACTACTTCATCAATCAATCTAACACCCTAAACTGTCGTTTGAGACTACAAAGAATGATGAGCATTAAAAGGATAGGATTGATTTGTTCACGAGTCGCCTTAACTTCAACTGTCGTTGGCTAAGGACGAATC